AAATAATTCTGAGCCAATCATACAAGAGTGATCATTGACACTGCCACCTCCATATTCAGACAACCACAGAGTTCTTCCTACCATCGGCACCCATATTCATGTATCTCTCTTCCTTTACATCCCTTCATTCAAGGGTAGATTCCCACCCATCAAGTAACAATGCATGTGGAAACAAGGTTAACCACTGAACGTAGTGTCTTCCTTTTTCCAATTAAAAAATAACTGTATTGTCAATGCTCATAGACCACGATAAAGACAATTTGTCCCATGAAAAAATAACTGTATTGTCAATGCTCATAGACCACGATAAAGACAATTTGTCCCATGACGGTTAGAATGTGTTTGTGACTTTAAGTATCACTATCTCACAATACTGTGAAATTTATGTGATCACTTAATCACAATAAAGAAAAAAAGTGGTTTGATTCCCGGCCCCCTCCCCGTGGAACACACAGGGGACACACATCTGAAGCTCGTCCCCCGTCATTCTCATCCAGTTTTCACGGGTGTGACCACAAGCCACCACCCCTTTCCCATGTCCCATTTCAAGCCTGTGTAGTGACTGATGGCTGCAATACCAACTTTAGAATCACCCGTGGGAGCGCGGCAGGATGACACTTATTAAAGTATAGATCCCTCCGCCTCCCCAAAGGGCCACTGAGTTGAAATATCTAGTCTGACCTGATGAATCTTCATTTTACCTGGATTCCCATGGGGTTCTTCGTACTTGCACAGCACCGTACCAATGCATTTTCTTTATTAAAAAGAAATCCACGGAAAATGATCTATTTTTTTCATCCTTCATAATAACCATTGAGGAAACTTCCTGAAAACACCAGCACTCACTAGCGTGTGAGTGATAGAAACATTTCTAACACCACCCAAAAACATAATATGTATATTCTTATGAACGCCAGGCTGGAACAAAACATGAAAAATGAATCCTTATGTATTTCATGTAAAACCCATCCCTCAGCTTTTAGAAAAATTCATGAGCCTAAAACCAGAATTTTAAACCTCTAATTTAACTTCAGCTTTTCATGATTCCATGATTCCATTACCAGATTAGGAAACAGACCTAGAAATATAGAGTGATGCTGGTTATGAACTGAAAAGCTAGCTGTTCTAAATAAATGTCAAGCTTTGTCTATGATATCATCAGCTGCCTTTGTTCCCTCTCTGCCTCTCTCTCTCTTTCTCTCCCTTTCTCTAACCAGAAACACAATTGACTTCAACTATTCCTTGCTTATTGCTGTCCAAAGATAACTGATACTTTGCTTGAGTGCCAAGTTTTTCTTTCGTGTTTCAAATTTTCTTTGCAACCTTTGGCTTCTTGTGGGGTATTTTGTTTTCTCTTCAAACTCAGTCGTTTGGAACAAAGCAACAAAATGAAACCTTCAGCATTTGTCTCTGTAGTACATAGTTGATGGTTGGTTAAACCACATTTTTCCTTAAACATCACTTTCAGCTAATACTTGCACGAAATATGACGTTATCAGTTTTTGCTCTGTGACCTTGCAGCTTGTATTATACCTTCAGCAAATGTTTTACATGTGATACTAAATCTATTGAGACATATTAAGTAACATGTTACACTCTTATGATCACAACAGAAATAACTATTGTCATATTGAAGAAAAAAATTCTATGGCCAACAAATGCCTTCAGCAATGGAAAAGCAATTATTGACATCTCAGTCAAGATCATTTTTTTTCCAGTTGTCCTAAAGTGAAATTATTTGTCACACTGAATATCTTTATTTGTATAGCAAGGGATTATGAGAGTTACATCCTAAAATAGGAAGTAAATCTCTCCATAATTTTCATTGAACAGAGTTCAGTTTAAAGACCGGTTTTATTGCCTAAATTCTAAACCTATTGATTTCCAATGAATTTGTCACCTATTAGACACTAGTGAACACTACAAAAACATTGTTAATCATCTTTAGTCTGAGCATGTGTTTAAATCAGATTGCTTACTTTCTAAGACTAAATCTTCATTAACTATCTTACTAAAAGTTATCATTTTGGAAACTTAACTCAGTTCAAATATACTTAAAAGGTTTAACAATACTTACCATGACTTGAAAATATTAAATGTAATAAAGTTCAAGGATGGTAAGTACTCATTACATGCCATCAAACTTATCCCAAACAAATACTGTCTTTTGTGGTTTTCATTTCTTTAACTTGAAAATCTCCAAAGAAAACATTATATTTTCCTTCATACTTCTTAACAATTGCCCTGAAATGAAGTTTATTCCCCAGGTAGCTCTACCCTAAAGGTTTTAATTACATCATGGTGTGTTTGCAGCATCTTGCTAGAATAGTGTGAGATCATATTATGAAAAACGTCTGGCGCATAGCTACAGAACAGTAATGCAATTAACAAGGTAGGTTAATAAGTCAAACCAACACTGCTCAAATCCTGTCTTTTTCTATCTACTACTTGGGTGATTTGGAGCAGACTCAGTGTCCTCATTTAAATTGTATTTGTTTTAAATAAAGGCTGTTGGGAGGATTAAAGGAGATAATTCATGCCTGGAAGAGTGCTAGGCAAAGTAGCTAAATATTGATACATTATTATGTATATAACTACAACTATATAAGGAATTAATTGCTATAGTATGCTCTACAGGCTCCTAATAATTTATGAATAACTAGGGGAAAACATGTTTCGTTAAAATATTAGGCCAGATTTTATTACATTTAAAGAAACAGCAGTTTAACTAGGAATGTTAAGTAAAGATTTGAAATTCCTTTTGGTTTGGATCTAGGTTCTTTTACCTGGAAGATGGTTAAGGAGCAGTAGACCTCCACCCAAGAAGGCGAGATCTCTCAGGACAGGGCCTGGGTAAGCAGTTTGCCTAGGCCCACCACAGCCTGGATTCAGAGCATGGAGTCAGAGACAAGAAGAGCAAGAAACCAAGGTCTCAAACCACTACAGGGGAGGGTGGCAGTCAGGTACCGAGACAATCAATAGATGGCAAAGGGAAGGCTGAAATGTTTGCTGGTACACATTTGGAGTCAATGGGCTACCTGTAGCTTTCTCATGAGATCTGATTCCTGGATGGGGAAGCCATGTTTAAGTGCTGGAAACTGGAGTAGGTAAGGTAGTGCCTTCCTAGCTACTATTCTTATTATACTGCATTAACTGTGCCGAACATAATGCATTATTATTCTAGACTAAGACACAACACTCAAGGTGACATATCCTATCCTAAAGAAGAAAAGCACACATTTACATTCCCAAGACAAACAAATAAAAAAGCATCTCTCAGTAGCCAAGAAATATAAAACAACCAACCACCAACAGCGTATATAATAGAGCACAGAAATGTGGTAATACTACCAATAATAAAAAACAATATGATCAACAATGGTGGATGTAGTGTCTAGTCAGTTTTGGACCTTTCAAAGATTACTTAGGGGAAATAGCAAGTTTAAAAAAAAAAAAAACACAGCACAGGGGCTGGGTGCCCGTGGCTCACACCTGTAATCCTAGCCACTCAGGAGGCTGAGATCTGAGGATTGCGGTTCAAAGCCAGCCCGGGCAGGAAAGTCTGTGAGACTCTTATCTCCAATAAACCACTAGAAAACCAGAACTGGCACTGTGGCTCAAGTGGTAGAGCGCTTGCCTTGAGTTGAAGAGCAGAGACAGTGCCCAGGCCCAGATTTCAAGCCCCATGACTGACAAAAAAAAAGAAAAGAAAACAGAAAAATATCAAATCAATAAATTCGGATTGTGTCTGAAATGAGTCATCTACAAAAAAATGATCTTTATTGACACTTTTTTATCCTAAATGAGGCAGAGGAAATTCTATCTTGCTCCAACTCACAATGTGCTATATATTCATCTTAGGTAGTAGCATGCTTTCCTTTTTCCCTCTTTAAGAATATTAATCCACATCTTAATATTTCTTTCATTTTTAAAAAAAACTTTTAGCTTCTACATAAGTGAGATCACATATTTATTTCATGTGAAATCTAAAAATGTAATTATATTGAGCAGGAGATTAAATAGGTGGCTACTAGAAGTTGAGAAATGGGAGAGACAGGGAGAGAGAGAGAGATGGTGAAGATTAACATGTAGAAAATAACCAGGCTAAGTGATATGTGCCCGTAATCCCAGTTATTTGGGAGAGAGACATAAGAAGACTGTGAATTTAAGGTCATTCAGGGCAAAGTTAATTTAATAAAAATAAAAAAGAAATAAAAAGAGAAACATCAGTGAACCCAGCTCAAGTGGTAAAATGCTTGTGTAGAAAGCATGAAGTCTGGGGTTTGATCCCCACTTCCAGCAGGGTGTAACATTTCCGTCAGCGGGGAGAAACAAGTTTTAGCAAACTATCATCCTGCATGGTGGCCATAATTAATAGTTAACAATAATGCATATCTCAAAATCGATTAACAAATAGATTTTAATACCGCCCTACACAAAGATAATGATGGAAGTGCAAATCAGTTTGACTAAAACTTTCTACAATTCCTGTATCAATCAGAGCACCATATGATGACCCACAAATGTTTGCAAACATTATGTAAATTCAAAATAAGTTAATAAAATGGAGAAATACTGGATAGTAATTTTTCTAAAATACTTTTAAGACATTCTCTACGGTATTTCTAAGTAGATAGTTAAGAAGAAAACTAACATCAGCTCTTCAAAATTGATCATTTTCTCTGAACTGAATATGACACACACACATAGTAACAGACAGTAATATATCTCTCTAAATATGACAAACACGTAGCCCAAGAACTACATTCCTCTTTCTGTACATATATCCATATTGCCACACATGGATGAGTAATGAATTTGCAGCTCTTACAATTTTTTTAAGAAAGACCAACTATGAGCCAGCTGAAGCAACAGAGTGTGTTGATTTGTCTTGTTGTCACTCTGAGGTTGCTATTGTTGTTTTGGCTTGGGGTATTTTTCTGTTTCGTTTTTGTTTTACAACTACTGAGCAGAGAGCCAGCAGCCGGGATGGTACTTACTGATGGGTAGAGGTAGCCTTCTCCATTCATGGCTATATACAACCCTGTCTTCACTCCCTGGATAGCGACGACACGTAGTCCCACTGGGATGAGGTTGAACAGTGCTGTAAAGACAAAGGCAGTCTGTCACCCATGGGTGCCAAGAAGCAGAGCATTGTAATACCATCTTTTTCTCTCATTTCTCTTATTTACAAAATATCATCTCTCTCTCCGAGAAGTTCCAATTAAAGGACTTCAGAATTCTCTTTAGAATGAAGAAGTTTCTGCCACAGGTAAAATTAGCACTTGAGTTTTAATGTGTACATCTGCTTAGCAGTCTTGCCTAGAGCATTCTGAAGAACAGGTGGGATAAGAACAGAACCAAGCCTACTTCTGCTTCTCAGCCTCTGACACCATTAGATTCCAAAAGAAATCAGCAGGAAGATTGTCAAGAGCAGAATCTGAGGTGCCACACATCTATTCTCCTCTTGCCTGTAGAAGGTATCATTTGCCATTGCCACATTCTGTAGGCCAGAAGTTAGAGAGGTAACTCCAAATTGAAATTTCCTTTCGAGAACCCTCTTCTTCAAGTGCCAGATAAGCCAGAAAAAGATATACATCTGTACCAGGAAATGGATACTTGTGAGAGGGGAGGGTGAAGCCAAGGGTAAATGACTAGAAGAACAAAGGGGAAAGGTGGAGAATGCAGGCAGGAATTCACTGTATCTGCCACAGAATTGAAGGGGTGGGACAAAGGGCTGCGGTAAGGATACAGTGACAACCCTCATCAAGATGCATTGTACCCATAAACTGCTTTGTTAAATGCAAAAAAAAAAACAAAAAACTCAATTCATAACCTAAAATTAAGTAAGAGAGCTAGGTGCCGGTGGCTCTTGCTTGTAATCCTAGCTACTCAGGAGTCTGAGATCTGAGGATCACAGTTCAAAGCCAGCCCGGGCAGGAAAGTCTGAGAGACTCTAATCTCCAGTTAACTATCAGAAAACAGGAAGTGGCGCTGTGGCTCAAGTGGTAGAGCACTTGCCTTGAGCCACGGAGCTCAAGGACGGGGCCAAGGGAAGGAGTGGTAGGAGGGGTGGGTTGGGAGGGGTGGGTGAGAATGTTAAGAGAATAAATTGGTCAAGATGCACTGTATTCATGAACTGCTTCAGTGAATGACAACTCCTTTGTGCAACTACTTAAAGATAATAAGAATACATTTAAAAATCAAAGAAGTACCCAACTAAATGACATACAAACTTTAGGGATAGAATTTTTCTTTACTTTTATAAAACAATGAATAAAAATTATGAGAAAAAGTGCTCAATATTTTACCTAATAGATAAGAACATATTTTCATGTTTTATTGATTACCTTGCTAATAAATCATTTTTTAATGTATTTTCACCCAGTGCAGATGGTAATGTTATATCCAGTACTTTATTTGGGGTATTGATATTGGTACTTTTAACATGAGTTTAATGCATTTCTGAGCCAGTGTTACCTGCATACTGTTTGCGGAGTCTTCTAGCACCATTCCTAATCAAAACTACTTCATGTTTTCTTTTGATTTTTGTTATAGATTCATTGATAGATTCATTATCTGTCCCTACTCTATTGGTTTTTCTTTTTTAATGTCATATCTAATACCAAGCAATACAACCAGGCTAGAACAGGCATTGTAAATACTAGATGTGGATATAACTACTTAAGTAAAATATCTTAACTTCAGGCATTGGTCTCACAAATCTCTTGAACTTTTGGGCCATTTTAACTTCCTTCTCTGGGTCTCCTCGGTGCATAATTAAAAAGTGACTTCATGAATCGTGTTTTATTTTGTTCTCAGGGACATGTTTTCTTTTAATAGGGTGAAGAAAGTTATACCCTCTCTTCCAGTAATTATATGTTACTGTTCCCAAGGCCCTACGATGTCTGTGCCTCTCAAATAATGGAGGGAATACAGCATGCCATGGCATGCTGAATGCAAGAATGCTTGTAATTGTCATTTTTGTTGTTGTTGTTGTTTGTTTTGTTTTTGTTTTTTTGTCAGCCATGGGGCTTGAACTCTGGGCTTGGGTGCTGTCCCTGTGCTCTTCAGATCAAGGCAAGCGCTCTACCGCTTGAGCCACAGGGCCACTTCCGGTTTTCTAGTGGTTTATTGGAGATAAGAGTCTCAAGGACTTTCTTGCCAGGGCTGGCTTTGAATCGTGATTCTCAGATCTCAGCCTCCTGAATAGCTAGGATTACAGGCGTGAGCCACCGGCACCTGGCTTCATTTTGTTAAAATTAGTTTTCATTTTGCAAACTATTGTTGGGCTGTCTTCTCCTGGGGTCTGAGGAGTTATGGTAACCTCATTACTATTTTTTATTTTAAATGTGAGGACCGGGATGCACCTTGCCGTTGTAGCCCAGTACTGCTTCTTTATGCTCACTTTTATTGTAATGCCTGAAATACCCCCATCTCCCTTATGTCTTGAAAGGATACCATAGAATGAAGCCTATTCTGTGCAAAATTTTAATGTAAAAATGTCATCATTTGCCTGTCAATGTACCCTATCTACACGAACCTAACCTAATAATTCTAACCTAATTATTTGCACCTTTCTATACTGCTGTATTTTCAGGTGCCTTATACTTCATATAAGCTGAATGGGACAATTGCAGATGGTGATTCTACCTCCTGAAACAGTGTAGTACAGGAAATAGATAAATTCTAGAGGAATTCTAGAATGAACATTAAAAATGCCCATATTTAGAAGTTAGTCTAAAATTCTAGAAGGTAGTCCATGTTTATAGACATTTAACCAGTATGAAAAAATGATAGTATTTTTCCAGAATTTGGTTAGAAATTTAGATTACAAAATACGTTATTATAATCCCCAGAATGTTGATAGAAGGAAGGTCCATCGAACCACTGTGATGTGGAAGACCCTCAGAGCTGATCGTGCTAGACTTGTGTGCTAGTGACAGATGTGCTCATTGAGCTACCGTATTTTTCTGCTGTCTTCAAAATCTAGGTAGTTATAAAGCAATGTCACAAAGCCCAGGGGAGAGAGAAGGATAAAGATATTTCTGTGGCTTTGTTTATTCTATCCTGACACATTATTAAAACTGGCTATGTTCATAAAATAAAATGGCCAGCCCCAGCATCCGACAATTAAATCATAATCCTCTGGAGCAGAATTTAGGGATAAGGAACTTTTTTATAAAGTTAATGAGATGTTCCATCTAAGTGAGAACAGCCATCCTGAAACCCTATAGTAGGGAGATGTCAATTGTTACCCCTCATGATCTATGCTGAGGCGCTGACAAGGAGGTGGGTGGGTTTAGTGCATTCATATGCAGCCTTATCCTGCTACCAATCTTAGATCATGGGATTTGAAAGTTCAGGTCTCCGGTGTTACCCTCTGGTGACTTCTAGGATGATATCTGGGTGAGTTTTAGATTATTTTTCCTTGTTTTCCCCTATTCGCATATAACTAATGTATTCAGGGAATTATTTTACAATGCCAGTTATTTATGAATTATTTTCTCACCCCTTCCTCAAATCACAAAGGCTTCTAATTAAGATGTGTGTATTAGTTGCACTTAGTTACACTTGGAAGATTTTCCCTTGAGGAGAAATATTCTATGTTTAAGTATCATGGCAGCGTGGAAATGTCAGCATTTCTAGTACACACTTATTTTTCTAAAATAAAAAAGCACAAAAAATAAACCTTTTCATTGCTAATGGTTCTCCTAAGATTCCAAAGGCTATCTTAATTAGCCAGAGGAAAAGACAATCTTAAAGTTTATCCTGAAACTGATGGGTTTTGATTGAAAGGGGTGGCTGTACACAGAAGCGGAGTTCACTAATAGTTCCTGTTGCTTTTACAAATCTGCTATGATCCTGCCAATTTTCATTATATCTTATATGTCTACAATTGGAGTAGAATCCTGAAAAAAGCACTTTGATCTCACTCTTCAAAATTTTTGCAAATGTTGAGATGGTAACAAAACTAACCACTTCGGTTTAGAGTGCGTACACTACAAAAAGTAATGTGTAAGAAAAGAAGCTGTGGGCCAGACATATTCATAGGAATTCAAGACTTCCTGGTGGGACTCTGATTTGACTGTTCTCTGCTCTCAGACAGGGGCAGCTGTGCTGTGTCCTTAGGACTGTTTCTTAGCAGCAGATTTTGAAGCAGACAAACATTGAAGACGGATCCCATTTCTTCTAGTAGAGATATAGAACTGGAAGAAAATGCCACAGGCATTTAGGGAAGAGGAAGCAGAGCATCTTTTAGGACCTCAGCTTTCCAGTTTCATTTTTATATTCTTCAGCTAACCAGACCCAAATATGTGCACATGTATATAATGTCGACACCAGCAGTGAATGTCTTAGAAAATACCATGGTGTTTATTCAGTTCTAAAAGGGATAGGCTGTTAACAGACAATGTCTTCATGATAATTCTCAATGTGACATTGATTCTCCACATGGAGGGCGTACAATTTGTCTAGCATGAACCCTTACGATCTGCCCTCAAAAGATGAAAGAAAAGTGTCAAAGAAAATTCATAAAATCATTGTTTGAAGAAAATTAGTTTTCTAAGCAGTCCCATGGTGTAGCATTTTCCTTTAGCTGTGGATGATTTTCTACTTTTTAAAACAGAAGAAAAGGTTATCACAGTAGGGGTGAGATGGTAAAGCTTTTTGATCATCAAAGCTCAAGCAATAAGAAGTTATGGAAATCTAGTTCTCATGTTCAATTAGACTTTGGACAAAGGTAATCAGAGAATACTTAAGACATCAGACTCCATGTATTTCTGAGTTCCATGCCTCCTAACAACTGAAAGAAATAATTAAACAAAAATGCTTTTTGGAAGGATTTTAAGTGGCAAAAGAAAACATATTAGTTTGAGCCATAAGGAGCTAATACCTTTTCTAGGTCACTGATGTTAAAGTACTAATCATTTTAAAATACCCACCCTAATAACAAAATCCCAATAAGTATGAACAACATTTGACATAGTTCTTAAAAATAGAAATCTCTCTCACTGTGCTTGAATTTTATCTTCTCTTTTCCTAAATATGAAGAGAAAATACAGCAGCAATAAATCACTGAGAAAATGGTAAAAGATGTATTAAAAATTAAGAGAGATATAGAAGGGACTAGAAATTGAAGAGAAAATGAAGCTAAATAAAGAAAAATATTAAAAATGAAAGAAAAATGTAATCAGTACCAAAAATCCATAGAAATGGTTAGAAAAGCATTGATATTTCACATAGAAATAGCACACATAAGTATAGTGCACGTTACATAATGAGCTAGTCTCAGAATCTGTTACTGAAAATTTCATTACTAGAATTTGAAATCCAAAGTAACTAAAATTTTATTGTACATATTCTAATTTTCTCTTCATGGACTGAGGTTCTATCTATGAAGAATAAATAATAAATGGGTAGAAAGAAAAACTAGAAATACTTCTAATAAAGCACCCTGACAATAATAGTAAATAACAGGTGTATTGTGAGAATTTACATTAAACTGGAAGGAATCATGTGTCAGTATGAACAAAAGTCTTAACTACTCAAGAGGCTGAGATCTGAGGATTGCAGAGTGAAGCCAGTCCAGGCAAGAAAGTCTGTGAGAATCTTATTTCCAATTAACTAACAAAAAGCCAGAATTGGAGCTATGGCTCAAGTGGTAGAACTAGCCCTGAGTAAAACAAAAAAGTCAAAGGACAGTGTCCTGACTTCAAGCTCCAGTACTTACACACACACACACACACACACACACACACACACAGTATTAAAAGAATATGCACACATGAATGTAAGCTAATATGTACATATTTTTAATTAAATAATTTACCTCGACTTGATTCTGTAAACTGGTTAAACACTGCATAAGTGTGTTTAGAGGTACACTGCCTACATATCCTCTCTAAAAGGGAGATATTCTCTTTGCTTATCAATTGCAAAGAATTTTAAAATTATATTTCTGTTCATTGATTCACCTATCCTTTAAATTTCCCTGGGTATTATTAAGAAGCTAATAAAATATTACATTCAAAAGCAACATCTGTTTTTATGTTGATACACTAACACCATTTTACATTTGTGATAACAAGATTAAAAGTAACTGATTTTTCTAGATAGGACAATCATGGGGAGAGAAAAATAGGTCTCTTAATGTATAATGCTCCTGAAACTTCTGCATTTACATTGCCATCATCTGGTCTTAGTAACATTTAAATGGCACTCTAGAGTGTAAAGTCTGTAGAGAGAAACCAACATAAGGAAGTCTTTGCAAATGTGCCTTTAACGGTTATTTAAAGAGCCAGGTATCTTCTCCAGACTGGGGTAACAGAGGCCAGGCCAGAGGTGATCACTTACTGGAATTCGTGCTGTCATCCTTCGTTCCATCGAGAGCTCCATCGGGGTGCATTTGCAAGTAGTAGCCTTGCCTGCAATACAACCTGGTCACTATTCCCTTGAGCTGGGGATCTGCAAAGCAAGCACAGCGATGGTAAGCCTCAACATGTGTTAGCACAGACCTTCCTTTGCTTTTCTTCTTCCGCTTCTTTTCATCTCATAAGAGGACATTTTCTAGAAGTAGCCCATAGATTTTATAACACTTACACTATTTGTCCTATATATCCTGCAAGCTGGAGTACATATGTCATAGAAGGAATAGAAAGACGCATCTGTGAGCTACAGCAAAATAGAAACTAATACCTGTGTGCTGGTATTATTTATTAAAATGGCCAAATCAAGCTGCAAACTTAACTTATATTTAAACTGTAATTCATAGAAGTATTCCCGATCACAGGTGAGGAATCTTGCCACATTGGAACACTAAGATACTCACATTAAAGGCATTTAAGCAGAATTTTCCTTTTTTCTCTTATTTAAATTGACAACCCTCAAATAAGAGAAACCTGTCTGGTTTAAAAATTCGTGTTGGCCTTTGATACACGTCCTTAGAATAAGCCCTGCTAGAAGAAGCTCCCCCTAACCTGTATGGAAATATTTGTGGTGTTTAGACGCGACACACATGGAAGTGGAGTCCCTAGTTCTGAACTGGGGAAGAAGTCAAGAGTGATTGCCTGCTCAGAAGGACTGTGTGTCTCTGGGTTCAGTCTCCAAGGCAAAACAAAGCCAGAAACCCACATAAGAACCCTGCAGAAAGATCAGGTCTAAAGCAACATACTCAACAAAGGAGACAAATTAAACAGACAAACGTACTCATTTGGATAATTGCCAAGGACAAATTACGCAGCACAGGTTCTGAATAGTATTATTACTGAGTTTACAGTAGAAGGGATAGAACGCCTTACTGCAGTCCCTGCCTCTCTTGCATTTGGGGCAGGTCCCCGGTTCTTTTGCTTGGAATTTGTTTTTCGCATAAGATCCTGAGATAACTTTTCAAAGGGGGGTAGCCTCAGACTGCAGTCCTCCTACCTCCGCCTTCTAGGTAGGTAGGATGACAGTCCTGAGTGCCACACTCGATCTCAGAATCTGATGATTGGTGATAGGTGAGAGGCAGAAGCCAGTGGAAGTTAAGATAACAAAAGGGTAAAGTCGTACATCCTACACTTCTTATTTGATGACTCATACCAAGAGTAGCCCCCATCCCCGTGAAGTGCTACCCATAGAGACAGCTGTATATTAGAAAATAATTATTTGCCTATAGCTTTTCTAAGGCCATCCCCAATAGGAGTCGGGTCTGTCATGGAGCATTCTATCCCTCACCATGGCAACTGGGTTTTCCCTACAATGGCAGAAGGAAGGCTTCATGCAAATGGATGGAAGCACCCTGTCCACACTACAGGCTGCTGCTCCACTCGAGCCCCAGCCTCATCATAATAACTGGACAGATGAAGACAAGTGGGCTCCAAGCACAAAACACGAAACAAAGGCAGAGCTGCTTCACACGAAATACCCTCGGGCTTTTGATTCCTTCTCAGCAATGAAAAAGTACAGCAATCAGTGTTCGGCTGAATGTCCAACTACACTCTAACCATCAGCCACATGGAGAGTGGGGTTTGGGACAAGATCTTCTGGAACACACAATACCCATCAGTGTAGCTCAACAAGTCCAGATTTAGACTTTTTTTTAAAGACTAGGCTTTTCAAAAAAAAATATATGGAGTGACTAGTAGAGATAGAATACCTTTATTTCCCATCCTGCAGTACTCAGATTCTATCACTCTAAAGCATGCTACAGTAAAAGGAATCCTGCTGGGCCATCGTCTGCTCATCGCCTGGGAAGACTTAACTAGCTAAGAACTTACTGTCTACTGAAGACTTTTCAGAGTCTGTTGCATCTGCTGTATGCTCTGCTCTGAACACTGGTATCATGGACATAAAGAAATGCAAGCAAACTGATGGGGGAGAAATCCTTAATTGACATGAAAACATACAAAAAAAAACCAACTTCAGAGATTGGCAGGTTTTCTATCAGACTGTCATGTTCTGGCATCACTAACTTTTAAATAATCCTACATTTGAGCTCTTCCTTATCGAGTGGAGTCTACCAGATCAAGCAAAGCAGGAAGAAGAACCCCCCCTCACTGCACCCCTACTCTGCCCCAACAAGACCTGTACACTTACAGAGAGCAATTTCCCACCATGCCTCAGTCGACAGAACTAAATCCCACTGCAAAATTCTCTTTAAATTTGGATCCCTCTAGTTTCACAACACTGGGTGTTTTTAATCTTAGGAAAGTGTAACAATGTTGTGGGCTCTTCTTCCATGTCAGACATCCTTCTCTGAAAGTTTTATGATGAATTCTTCGGCTCCTCACTACAAGTCTACTTAATGGGACTTTTAGGATGAAGAAATATAGGCAGAGTGATTAAATCATTTGACTAAAGGTGCACAACTACTAAGTACCAGCTTAGGGGGTGGATCACTCAGTTCTGGTACTGCCCATGAGACACAGGACACACATCCTCCATACACTGAAGTATTAAAGGAAAACATCACAGAACTTAAAACACAAGCCAGTCTGTCAAAGAAGCGAATCAACAAACTAACAAACAACACTTCAATGGTAGAATTTTAAAGCTCAGCGCCAGAACTGTGTCTGTACCCCACTCCCAAACACTAGGCAGTGAGGATGTGACCCCAAGCCATCACAGCGGGATTTGAAAGGATCGAAGTTTTTCCAAGGTCTTTTAAGATCCACCCCACTTCCTCACGGGTCCACTATCCTGAGCATTTTCTATGCCATGAAATCTTCACCGAAATCTCACACTCTGTACTGCAAGTTTAACACTTCCTCCAGTACCGTTTTCTCTGTATATCTGCCCCCAACCACCTCCTGGCAAAGGTGCTATCACTCCCGTGTAAATTTACCCTTTCTATGAACACCATCAGTGCCCTAAAGACAGAGCTTGTATTTGCATACTACCTAACAAACTCTCTGGTTCCTAAGGCTGCTTTTTTGCAACCTTCTTCCTTCCTCTCCCTTTCCTGTGTTTACTGCCAGTTTCTGATGACCTTTCAGAGAGGATCTTCCTGCCTGTAGTTCATCCAAAGGCATCAGATCTGGAATCATGCAGAGACTCTTCACCCCCATGCATTATATACACATCCCACAGCAGTAGGCCCCATCTTCTCTGCCGGCCTGCTCACGCTGCCCACTCAACCCATTCACGAAACTTCACTCATGTCTCAGTGGGTTGCCTACAAGTATTTCACCCTCACTTAATCTGTTCTCCTTTATCTGGCTGGAAAACACTCACCTGGCCTGCATGCCCCCTACAACCGCGCAGGTACGAACCCATTCCCACACACACATCTTTCCCTAACTCATGTTTTCCTCATTCCCAAGTCCATCACATTTCACTGTCTCAAAGATGAACTCCTCACATCTCGACTAAAGGCAGCCTCCTCCCTCTGATATTTTGTGATGTCATTCATCAAAAGTTTAACCTATTTCTTATACATGAAAAGCATGGCATTTTGAAACATGAATACATTTTAAAAGTACAGAAATCAATACAGAATGCTTCCAAGTACCTGTCACTACTATTTAACAGCACATAGGTTTTTTTCTTCATTCATGATTTAATTCCTATTTGTGCAACTGTATGATTAATATCTGTCTCACAACATGGACTGTACATTTCATGAAGAAAATGAAACTGTGTAGCATCATTTATCATTACCTCTTCAGTGTCTAAATAAATAGGAGCTGTGCAATAAATATGTGTGATTGAATGGTGACAGCGTAATTTTCATGTTGCTAGTAATAGTCAAAATGAATAACAAGTTGGGTGCCGGTGGCCCATGTCTGTGGTCATAACGACTCAGGAGTCTGAAATAGGAGGATTGTGGTTCAGAGCAAGCCTGGGCAGGAAAATCTGCGAAACTACTTCTAATTAAACATCAAAGGGTCGGGAGGGGAGCTGTCGCTTAAGAGGCTACCTTGAGCTAAAAAGCTAAGGGACAGCACCCAGACCAAAAATGGGTAGAACAGGAACATAGCCATGCAAAAAATAATATCCATTAGAAAATAAATGTAAAAGAAATATGTTAAATATAGTTAAATATAGTATTTTGTGATGATCATCAGAATATTTACTCTCTAGCATTTTATTCACTGAATATTATTTCATGAGGACAAGCTAATTTTATCATGAAAACACAGAGATTTTAACTATACTATACTAACTTTTGTTGAGTAAAAATATCCCACATATACTTATAAATAATATTGCAATCACAAGTCCAAGTAGTGGCAAATAAACACTAGTCTATAGTGTCAAGGCTTCCATTTATTAGTTTATTTTTATGTCCAGTTACGCAAATGCTCACTATGACCCTTATCACTTAGAAAACAAGCTGTGGTGGGAGGTGGCTATTTATAGTTTAAGATCGCTCCTCCAATGTTAAAACCTAGCAAAATACAACAAAACCTTTCCCCCCTGAGGCCAGAAATACACATCCAAATTGTCATAGCAGAAGCACAAAAAACGTGGAAACAAGAGAACATTCCTAGCTCTACTGAGACAGGGAAGGGGACCAGAATCTCAATGCCAGGCTACCATGTGCTATCGGTGAGCTCACCTGTGTGGTATTTCATGTCCTTAATGAGAGAAAAAAAGTGTCAGTGGGAGACGCGGGAAACCATTCAATGGCTAGCAGGGACAAAACCCCCAAGACAAGCTTAAAATGTTAAAACCATCTCAGATACAGATCTACTGTGAGAACCAGAGTTAGAGAGATCCTCACCCTAAGTGAGAATTATACCTTGAAATATAGAACAGTAGATATATTACGTTATGTGAAGCAAACATACTTTTAGACACACTCTGGTATCTTCATTAAACTAATGGGGTAAGAAGTAAGATAAGTTGAGTCTCTTTTGTCTTAATTCCATTTTATTCCCATTTGTCTTCTGCCTTCTATTTTCCATGCTATCTCATTTTATTATAACCTTTTTAGAGATACTCACATGAAATTCTGGAATAACTATGCTTTCTGATATTAATTA